GGTCTCAAGTTGACTGCTGACCTAAGATGGAACAAATACATTGAGTCAATTGCTTCGTCCACCACAAGGAAAGTTGGCTCCCTGTGCCGCGCCAGGAAATTTTTTTCCCCGGAATCGATCCTCCAGATCTACAAATCAACAATTCACCCTTGCATGGAGTATTGTTGCCATGGTCTGGTGCCCCTTCTGTTTGCCTCAGGATTCTTGATAGTCTCCAGAGGCGGATATGCAATATAATTGGCTCTGTTCTGGCATCTCATCTACAGTCGCTCTCTCACAGACATGCCATCACCTCTGTCTTTTTTACAAATACTTCCATGGCAATTGCTCCGAGGAGCTGCATTCGCTGGTTCCCAGACTTCAGGAGTTCAAGCACTCTACGAGGCTGGCATCTCGCTCTCACCCTTTCACTGTCGAAACTATTAAATGTAGCCGTCTCTTCTACTCCAATGAGTCCGTCGCTCAGAAAGTGAGCGACGGTTCGGTTCAACTCTCTGTCTACGGACGGAGAGGAACTCGAAAAAGGCTACGCCGAAGGGCGGAGTCTCCTTCGGGGAGGTAAAACTGGCCCTGAACCCGTTTATACGGGTTCAAATGGGCTATTTTTTGGCCGAGCCTGATGGCTCGGAAATGCCCACGTTAAAAAGGCCTTGTGCCACATGATGCCCTCGTGGGGGGACAACTAAATATAGTCTCTTCTACTCTAATAGCTTTATGTCTCGCACCTCTCGCTTGTGGGACTCCCTTCCCTATTCCAGTTTCCCTGAGAGCTATACACTCCAACTATTCAAATGTAATGTCAATCGACATCTCCAGTTGCCTTGATCTATCCACTATCCTTCTCCTCATCCTTTCCTGTCACTCCTATCTGATCTTGCTCCAAATCTTCTGTAACCCCTTGCGTCCTAGTGGCTTCCTGCCTTGCTTGGGGTGAAACGCTTACAAAAAAAAAAAAAGTTTCTTGTGGGTTCAGAAAACACCCCCATACACAGTACCTAGACAGGGAGGCTATATGCAAATTCTGTGGTAAGGTCAGACACTATACAAAAGTCTGTAGGTCTAAACCCAAGTCTTCTGGGTCTACTTTTTCAGCAACTACCTGCAATTCAGTGGAAACCATACCCCTTAATTTATCAAACTGTGCTACTGGATAGAATAAATAGCAAAACAGTGAATCTACTACTTGATACTGGCAGCTCTCAGAGATTTGTAAGTCATTCATTAGTGAAAAGGTATAGATGGAAACCTCTACTCTCTAACAAAGTTATCTCCATGGCAGCTGCCAATTTACAGTTTAAAATAGCAGGACATTACATAGCAGATGTTATCATTGGTGATCAGACATATAAGAAAGTACAACTAATTATTCTTGATAACTTATGTGGCAATGTAATAATTGAGCATAACATTTTGAGTCTACATTCCAGAGTGAAAATTTCTTTTGGTGAGAACCAGACACCCTTCTATGCAGTTTGATAATAATGAAAGCTCCCTATCCTGGTCTTTTTGATAATCTCTCTTCCAATTGTAAGCCTACAGGTATCAAATCAAGAAGATATTCTGAAGTTGATACTAAATTCATTAACTCTGAAGTAAAACAGACGTTAATTGAAAGGATTGTGGAACCTAATTTATCACCATGGAGAGCACAAGTATTGGTTACTGGTGGTCAAAATCACTAGAAAAGTTTAGGGGTTGACTATTTTCAAACCATTAATAGATTTATTCCAAATGCTTATCTTCCATCTAACATCAATTATTTAATAGAAAAGGTATTCAAGTACAGAGTGTTTAGTTCAATTGATGTGCTCAGCAGAAATAGGGAACAAAGAAAATCCTTATTTGAATTAATGAAAATTAAAGAACCAATTAACCCCTGTAACACTTTGCCTCAAACCCCCCCGCCCCATTCAAGAGTTTGAACCCAGTCTTCCAGAAGTTTAGACTAGAGAGACTGATGCAGGAAGGGTTAATTTTTGTTGTACCAAGAGCTATATAAACCAACTAAAGATTAACCCCATGAAAATCTAGTTTTATTTTTTCACCATGGAAATATTTTTTTCCTTTAATATCTTAATACCAAAAATCTGTAGAGAACCACGATCAGAAATATCCTGAAAGGGACAATATTTAAAAAAATTATAGAATCAGGCTAGGGACAAGTACTGATAGTCTATGGCATCTGGGTAAACATTAGCCTACCTGATACCTCCACTTTACATAGAAGACTTTCCTTATTTACATTTAATATTCCAGTAATATAGAGTTAGGCTAGGGACAAGTACTGATAGTCTATGGCATCTGGGTAAACATTAGCCTACCAGATACCTCCACTTTACATAGAAGACTTTCCTTATTTACATTTAATATTCCAGTAATATGGAGTTAGGCTAGGGACAAGTACTGATAGTCTATGGCATCTGGGTAAACATTAGCCTACCAGATACCTCCACTTCACATAGAAGACTTTCCTTATTTACATTTAATATTCCAGTATTATTGAGTTAGGCTAGGGACAAGTACTGATAATCTATGGCATCTGGATAAATATTAGCCTACCAGATACCTCCACTTCATATAAAAGACCAGATAGTATATACTTTTGCCAATAATTAAAAAAAGTTAAGATTTAGTCAACAAAATTTTTTAGTTTGAATAAAAATTTAAAACTTAAATGCAGAAGCCCCCCACCACCACCACACACATTATTTCTTGTTTGTATGATAAATTACAATTTACCCGATTTCAGGTGTGAGCAAGATTTGCCAAAATCTTTGAAAATTCTTTTTTTTTTTAATTTGATAAAGCCATGCCAGACACAAGGTCAGTAAACCAGAATGTGTAACAGTTGACTAGATAATGTTTCTTTTTTAATTATATATATATATATATATATATATATATATATATATATATACAAACACAACTATTATTATTTTTGTTGATGATACATTGGATATTTTTATTGTGATTTTGAAGAAATTTCAGGTTTAAAAATAAAATTGTTCGGTCCAACAATAAAATGGCATTTATTTGTGACCCGACTTGAGGAGAATGTGACAAGGTGGGAGCCCACACGCAAACCTGGAGGAAGCCCCCCCTCGATCATTACCCTTTTGCCGGCACCTCAGGTATCAGGTGATGTCCCAAGCCCAGTCTGATGAGACTGGCTTTCTGGGGAAATAGAGCATATTTTATTAAAATTAAATTTGGCGCTATTGCACTTTCGTCCCCCGCCCCCCGACACTGTCAACTATACGATGTTTTTTTTTTTTTTTTTTGTCTTCAGTTCTTTTTTAATTGAACCCCCCCACCAAAAAAAAAAAAAAACAAAACAAATACGAATAGAGATAGATTTCCGTTTTTTCTTAATATCTGTTTCATAATTTGTGCATTTTTTAATCAAATAATACATTTCTTTTTAGTTTTTAGAAACTTTTGACAACAGAAACACATTTTTTAGAAGCTTTTTAAAACCATTATTGCTAGTGTTTGTAAATTAAAATTGCAACAGTCCAACTGTTGTTATTAAAATAATTTATGAAGTTAAAGTTTTAAAAAAAAAAAAAACTGTTTTAAAAAGTTTTTTTTCATTTTATAAATAAAATTTATCTGGCTGTGTTATTTTGGGGGTGGGGCAAAATTTTAACCACTTCAAGTTAAGACTTGACCTGAAAATGTTTTTTATTTTCCCGTTACTTTGTGCAAAAATAATTACTCAGACTGGAATTTACAATTTGGGTGCAGGAATTTGTTTTTCTAAAAAGAAGTTTTAAAAAGTAAGAATAATAAAACACTGTCTGTATGTCTTCTCTTCACTCTTCATAGTTTTTTTTTTTTTTAAAGGCATATTAATGAAATTTCTTTAAAGTTGAAGATTTTTTTTTCTTTCTACGATTTACCAATTTCCAAATAGTGTGAAAAAAAAAAAAAATTATTTCAGAAGAAACTTTTAAATTTGGATTATAGTTTTTTTGTTGAAAATCATTAAGAAACTCTTATAAAATTAAAAAAATTGAATTGACATGAAAAATGGAAAACAACAGTTTTATTACTTTTAGTTTTAAACACTTACAAGGCATCATGGCCTTGAACACTTTAAGAAAAACGTAAACAAATTAATTTTATTTTTAACTCATAAAAATATTGTATAAGTTTGGTCACGTTTTTTTACCTTCTTATGTTTTATTGATTTTTTTAAAATTTTAAATGTGTTTCTGACTTCCTTTTATACACTTCATGCAAAGTATAATTATTTTATTTTAAACATAAAAAATACATTAATTTAAAAAAAAAAAAAGCGAGCTAGCGCACTGTCAGTGTCCATTGCGAAAATGACAGGTTATTAAAGTAAAGTAGTAGTAAAAAAAGACAATCTTAGGCTGGACATATGGATATAAAATTTGAATTATCAATAACGAGTTTCACAAAAATATATTACCTAGTTATTAAAAAATTAATTTAATAATTAGAAAAAAGTGTTTCTGGTGTTATTATTAAGAAGGAAATGAAGATTGTTTCCTTAAAAAAAAAATAAAAAATAAAAAACAACATTATTCAATTATAAAAACGATTTAAAAATACAAGACTTTATGCTTAAATAATTTATAACAAAATAATTTATTTACTTTTTAACTTAATATAACAATCTCAATAAAAAAAAAAAAAAAGTCTAAGAATAAAATACCGTGTTTGTGGAGGCAACGTAAGTATTTGTTGCTCCTTAAAGTTAGAGATGATAAAATTAAAGATAAAAAAAAGCATCCACTTTTACTTAGACACAATTTTTAGAAAGTGTAATTTTTTTGGAAAATATCTTACTTTTTTTTAAACAGATACTACGCTTTGATCCGATTCAGGAACGCACAAAAAAAAAACAAATGGATTCAAGGCAGAATTGTAAATTCTTGCGTCAATATTTTTGACGGGTATTATGCTAGTAAGAAGTAAAATAAACATTACAAATAAAAAAAGTAAGAAAGCTTTTAAATTCCACTCACCTGTTGGGAATCCTAGATGTTTACTTCCTCTTCCAAATCCCTTGACAACTTTTCCTTCGGCATAAAAAGGCAAATCGGACTCAGCTTCGTTGGCCATGACGAGGTTTCTGTTCAGAGGAACGAACAAATGAATGAATGAAAATTATATATTTTATTAAAGCTGACTCACACTCGAAAGTGGACAATCTCAGATGAGCTACAATACTGACAACTAGAGATTATATATATATATATATAAACAGATAAGAGAAAAAAAGTTAATGGGTGCGAAAAAAGCGGTTTCCTGTATGTTTAAAAATAAAACATTTAAAAACTGGATGTGTAATAATTGGCAGGAGGCGGAGCTTTTTTCCATCAATTTTAAAAGGGGAGAGTCTCTTTCTTCATTATTTCATTCTCACAGCCAATAAGGCAATTATACGTCATTTTTTTAACGATGGCAAAACATACAACTTTATAATATCTAGTATATTCATCTGGACTGTCAGAGAAAAAAAAATAGAAGCAACTCACCCTTCTTACACGATAAGGCACGTTTATTTTTATTGTTGCTTTAAAAGCTGGAAATTTTATTCGTCCTGAGATAAAAGTCATGAAATATTAACAAGTAAAAAGCTCTATTCTTAAATAATTGGACTTCTTTTTTTAAAGTATGGGTTAGAATTTCAGCAAAAGGTTACTGAACTGATTGTCCTGCATTATTTACATTCTTTTATTTTTCAACACGAAAGTCACCTGGTAATTTTTGAGGTGGTTGACTAATTTCCTTACACACCGGCTTATAGCATCGTACTATTCGGAAATGTTAATCCTTTATTCCAGAATGAAATCGATATGTACTAGGGGTGAATTGGAACAGCTTCAGTTCAACCCCCGCTATACACCTAAAAAAAAAAAAAAAAAATTATGTACAAGGGGTGCTGAAAAATCCTTGACTCAACCAAGTTAATTCCCAAAAAAGATTCTGATGGTTAATTTAATGAGTTATGTTTTGATCTGATTTTGAAAGTGTGTCGCATTGAGAATTTTTCAGCACCCTCTCCGTTGTGTGCATATTTCTAAAAAGAATATTTTTAATCCGACAATTTTATTACTTCTAAGTTCAAACGTTTATAGTCAATAATATCGTGACTGCAGGTTCGATTCCTGTCTGGGATATTTTCTTTACTAAGACTTATTTCTCGAATGCAAAGGTCGATAGACGCACAGTGGTTTAAATAAATAAAAAAATGGAACGTCTATTTCAAATACGAAGTAACCATTCCCGTTTGAAATATGAATTAATTTATTTAGGAAAGAAATCTATCTTCAATGGCTGTCGACCACTACTCAAGAGTTTCTTGTGCATTTTGTAGAGACAATCCTCAGGTGGCCGATTTTTTTAACACTGTTTTATAATACTTATTTTTTTATCTGATGTCGTCCGTGCTAAAGATCTCACTTTAGTCAGTGTTGTACCGGAACACAAAACCAAACATGTTTAGTAGTGTAGGAAGATTGTGTTACGCCAGTCTTATAAGCGTGAAAGGCTGGCTATCTTACCTGACTTGAAAATCTCGGCATTCAAAAAAAGAAAAGAAAGAAAAACATGAACTGCACGTGAAAGAAAGAGGAAAGGAAGTAAAGTGGGAAGGTGAATAAAAGAAAGAGAGAAAAGGAATTTAGTGGGAAGGTGAATAAGGGAAAGAAAGAGAGAGAAAAGAAAGAAAGAAAAAACTCAAATCAAATGTTACCTTGAATGTAGTTCAAACATTTTTTTCGTTCGGGTCAATAACCTGATATTTAGTCTTAGTCTGAAGTTCTTTTTTACGAAGTTTGACAACATTTTTGTCATTTTTATGTGACATTAAAATCCAGTTAAAAATAAACGTGAAGACAAAGTGTAAAAAAATAAAAAGAGGCTAATAATTAATATTTAATAATAATAGTCTTTTTGTTTTTTTTATGGACAGGTTTCTTTCTGTGTTGATTATTTTAAATTTATTTCCCCTGTTGCAGTGTATTAATGAGTCTCTATTTGATCAAAGGAAAAGAAGCACAAAGGTCACACTAAGTAAGAAGATAACTATCGATGGCTTGCAAGACAAGCTCAAACAATAAGCATTTACTCAACACAGCAAGCGCTTTGGTGGAAAAAAAAACGGTTATGGTCACGTGATCATAATTTTTAAAAAGAAAAAATATATTGTTTGGATTTAAAAATAAAAATCACTTCGAATTTGCATTCAACACTGCTTAAAAAATGAAAATTAAAAATAATGCAATTAAATTTTAATTTCAAAATCTTTTTTTAAAGGTAACGAAAATACTACTACTACTACTAATAATAATAATAATTCGTTTTTGCGAGCCATTTTTGCCACATGACTGTAAACAAATGTTTATGTAAAAGATTTTGGTAAACTCTTCATTTTTGTTGACTTGTATTCAACAACTCAATAAATCAATTAAAAAAAATCACTAAACGGCCATTTTTGTAATGGATACAAACGATTACCTTTTTCTAGTTTTTAATGAAATTTATAATTTGCAACACATATATAAAATGACTGAAATGTTTTAAAATTTATAAAATTCATTAGGTTTCTAGTTTTAATTGTGAAGTAAACTACAATTTTTAACAGACTTCACACTACATAAGGGGGTGGTTGGAAATTAAACTGGGAATATGAGAGTGCTAAAAAGAGCATTGTCTGGAGAGATTCCTTTCTAAAACAAAGAAATCCTAGTTTTACTTTGATTTCATATTCTGTGATTCCCCTACCTTATATGTCAAGAGACTTTTCTTAATGCCCACTTGTATAAAAAGAAAGAAAACTCAGCCTCTAATCCCAAAGGTGGACAAAAACTCAGGGATACAAAAGGTGATTATCTCCCTTGGTCAAGATAAAGTCATGTGGGTCACAAAAGTGGCTAGTCAGTCAGACAGTTTCCAGAAGTCAAATGGAGCAGTTGTCTTGCCGGGCAAGTCCTCAATTTAAGAAAAGCTGCCCTTGTTTGGTGTTCAGCTAGTACAAGTAACCCATGGTGCTATTTTCCTATGGAAATATATTCTACCAGATATAGAAAATATCTCCAGCATATGTTGTAGTTTCTTTGCATGGGGCAAATGTAAATGTGTATTATAATTTTGTGTATTGACAGTCCTCAATTTCAACCTTAAAAAAAATCCACAACTTGCCAATAAAATTTCCAATTGTTTGAGGGGCGCCCAAAATATGTTCTTGAAAAACCCAAAAGGTTATAGTGACATAGCAGGTAACTTCATTGTCTAATTAATCACATTCAAATCTGGAATCCTAAGTATGGCTTCTCCAGAAACATAGAAGAATCTTCAGTAGACTCAATTCCTGTTGGGAATTAGGACAAAGTAAGAACTTATCATTTTCTTTCCTTTTCACACTGCTTGTTGTGTAAACATATGTTGTAGTTTCTTTGCATGGGGCAAATGTAAATGTGTATTTATAATTTTGTGTATGACATAGCAGTTTAAAACTATTCTCTCTGAGAACAAAGCATGTTTGTCATTATCTATCAGCTATTCTGTTCCATCCAGGAAATAAGGTGTTATTATATTGTCGTGATCTTGTGATCATGAGAAATAAAAAAAAAAATTTAATTCCTATGATTCTATAGAAAAAGGTAAACCATCCCACTGGCGCGAAATTTAGAAACTTTCTCTTTCTCATTGGTCGCTAGCAAGGAGAGTACATGGACTTGAACAGCTCCAGAAATGAAGACCACAGATAAGTCTTACAAAAATATCACTTTCTGTTATGGTCCGGTTCCTTGTACCACGGTGATAGTCCAAGGTAGAACCAATAAAGAAGAACTCGAATACAGATATGGAATAACACAGATATATTACAAACAGGAATATATACAGAGAAGTAGAAAGTGTTAGTACGAACAAACCAGGTTTAGTATTTACATTAGTCGGACTATTGTCCTCATCTTTGTCGCCATATTTGTCACAACGTTTCAGCCGTTGTACGCTCCGGCCTTCTTCAGGTGGTTGGAATTTCGAACTGAACCCTTTATTTCGATCACTGGGGTAGACAAATATGGCGACAAAGATGAGGACAATAGTCCGACTAATGTAAATACTGTACATAATACCTCATCTCAGAAATATAGACAAACCAGGTTTAGTAGTAATTGTTTGAATGCGACTCTGTTTCGGACTGCCTCTGACTCGCTCACTCTGACTGACTGACTCCTGACAGACCTCACTCCAGACTTCAGACTGAACTCCCTGCTTCCTCTTGAGGCACAGTATTTATTACGTATGGAATAGTCCATTATGTTATTATGGGTAAGGTCCCATAACACTTTCTCACATTTAATATCATCTGTTAATGATAGACTTATCACTTGCAAATAATTTATTCATTCACCAAGACAAACACGAACCAGAAACATTTGCTAACAGCCACATTATAAAAACTTTCATACAACTACTGAACTTGAACAACCAAATCTTTCTGATTATATATAAATTTATAAATGTCTCACTTTGTTGTTATGATGAATGTATGTCATATTTTACTAACCAAAAATTGGAGTTAAACAAAGTCCATCATAACTAATATCATGGATGTAATAATGACCCATAAAAGGGGGTGTGCAAATAGGAGAATATTTCTTTCTTTGTCGCTGACCCATTAGTCTCATATATAAAAAGAAATAAATTTAACATTGAAAATTCAAGGAACTTTTAATTCAAATTTTAATGCCAAACTAAGACATTAATAATAATATTCAGTATATACACATATATATGTAAAAGAAAGATTAATTTCTTTTGGGTGCTTCACAAATTTTTGGTTTTTTCTGTTTGCTATAGAAATTCATTATAAAAGCTCTAAAAAGAGATTTTCTTAACAATGCTAGAGTCACATATTTAATATATTTCATAGTGATGTAATGGAATAACCTGTCATCCCCATGAGTGACTACACTATAGGTAGTAACTATCTATAAGTATCCGTAAGGCAACAGACTACAGGAGTCTAGCCGAAATCTTTTTTGGCTCGACTGATGAAGGCAGAGAGGAACCCAGACGAGTCTCTGCTGAGGGGCAGAGTCTTGTTTGGTGAGGTTGACCAACCTGATCCTATTTATGTGGGTTCTACAGGTATTTTTTGGCCAAGCCTATGGGCTCGGAAGACCCACGTTAAACTTGTGCCACATCTACCCTAGTGGGGGGGGGGACTAGTAAATACTGTCTAGCTGAAATCTTTTCAGCTACACAGTCAAACTCTCTGCCTCTGAGCAGAGAGGAACCTGGACAAGGCTCTGCTGAAGGGTAGAGTCTCATTTGGGGAGGTAGACTGTCCTGATCCTGTTTATGTGGGTTCTACAGGGATTTTTTGGCTGAGCCTACGGGCTTGGAAGACCCACATTAAACTTGGCCTTGTGCCACATCTACCCTCGTGGGGGAGCTAGTAAATACCACCTAGCTGAAATCTGTTCAGCTACACAGTTGAACTCTCTGCCTTCGGACAAAGAGGAACCCAAACGAGTCTTGTTCAGGGAGATAGACTGACCCAATCCTGTTTATGCGAGTTCTACAGGGATTTTTTGGCTGAGCATAGGGGCTCGGAAGACCCACATTAAACTTGGCCTTGTGCCACATCTACCCTCGTGGCGGGGCTAGTAGATATTGTCAAGCTGAAATCTTTTTTGGCTTTCAAACTCTCTGCCTCTGAGCAGTCTATGCCAAAGGGCAGAGTCTCGTTCGGGGAAGTAGACTGACCCAATCCTGTTTATGCGAGTTCTACAGGGATTTTTTGGCTGAGCATAGGGGCTCGGAAGACCCACATTAAACTTGGCCTTGTGCCACATCTACCCTCGTGGCGGGGCTAGTAGATATTGTCAAGCTGAAATCTTTTTCGGCTTTCAAACTCTCTGCCTCTGAGCAGTCTATGCCAAAGGGCAGAGTCTCATTCAGGGATGTAGACTGACCCAATCCTGTTTATGCGAGTTCTACAGGGATTTTTGGCTGAGCATAGGGGCTCGGAAGACCCACATTAAACTTGGCCTTGTGCCACATCTACCCTCGTGGCGGGCTAGTAGATATTGTCAAGCTGAAATCTTTTTTCGCTTTCAAACTCTCTGCCTCTGAGCAGTCTATGCCAAAGGGCAGAGTCTCGTTCGGGAGGTAGACTGACCCAATCCTGTTTATGCGAGTTCTACAGGATTTTTTTTTTTGGCTGAGCATAGGGGCTCGGAAGACCCCATTAAACTTGGCCTTGTGCCACATCTACCCTCGTGGCGGGGCTAGTAGATATTGTCAAGCTGAAATCTTTTTCGGCTTTCAAACTCTCTGCCTCTGAGCAGTCTATGCCAAAGGGCAGAGTCTCGTTCAGGGAGGTAGACTGACCCAATCCTGTTTATGCGAGTTCTACAGGGATTTTTTGGCTGAGCATAGGGGCTCGGAAGACCCACATTAAACTTGGCCTTGTGCCACATCTACCCTCGTGGCGGGGCAAGTAGATATTGTCAAGCTGAAATCTTTTTCGGCTTTCAAACTCTCTGCCTCTGAGCAGTCTATGCCAAAGGGCAGAGTCTCGTTCAGGGAGGTAGACTGACCCAATCCTGTTTTATTTTACCTGAAATTGATTAAGTGTTTGCTAGAATTCAAATCTGTCTAATTTCTTTGTTTTATCAAATCTTAATTTATACAGATTTTTAAAGTTTTTTCTTCACAAATACGACATCCTGATCATCATTGATTTCACTCATTATGCATTTACTAATACTCTTTTCTGGAGAAATTCCCTCTTAAAACAAACAAAATTTAATTTGTACTTGAATTTTATTTCTTCAAAATGATTTCATGTTGCAGTTCAATTTAGAATCATAAATGAGAATTGGGATCAGTTTTCAGTTTTAGAATTTTATGAATGAATTTAAGAAAATGAAAAAAAAGCAAAAGAAAGATAAAAGTGGAAGAAAAAAGAAAAAGAATAAAAACAAAGAAAAAAAAGAAAAAAACAATAAAAAGTGAAGAAAAAAAAAAAAAACAAAAGAAAGAAGACAAAAAAGAAAAGTCAAGAAAAAAGTAAAAAGAAAAGAGAAATTAGAAAGAAAAGAAAAAAAACGAACATGTTCTTTATGCATGCAAAATCTTGTATCCAAAATCTTTTACCCAAAGTCCTGTACTCAAAATGACATGGAATTTTTCTTACAAAACAAAAATTTCTTTATTCTGATGTCAAAACAGCGGACAATAAACTAAAGAATAACAGATTTTGACTCAACTGGAAATTCCAGATAATATTTAAGTAAAGGAGTGACGTTGATGACGTTGAGAGTGGATTTATTTTAAAGTATGACTCTAAACCTAAATTCCCAAACTTGTGAATGAGAAATGTTTCATTTATTTATCATGCCTCATATTAAAAATACAAAGGTAAAAAAAGCCATGAAAGCTGTTTCTGAGTTTAACAGGGATGCAAAAAAGAAAGTGATAATAAAAAAAAAACAATTTCTAACACCATTGATAAAACAGGATGTTGCTCAGTGAACTGAGTGACAGTACTTCACTGGACAGTAGAAAAATATTAATATTTGTTGCACATGAGTAAAAGTAGGGCACAAGACCAATAATGGGGAAAGGGAAAGCTGGTCATCAACTGTCTTATACTAAAACTTAGATAGCAACAATCACTGACCTTGCACCAAAATGCCAGATTCTTACTTACCATTCTTACTACAACAATCATAGTACCTCAGAGACTCTATGAAGTCCTAACTAGTCTCCATATGGACAATTTTGTCTGGGGTGGAGGAGATACAAAAAATAAATTATAAATTTATAAACCCTAATGAATATTTACAATGTAAAGTAAGATTTACTTACAAGAATCTAAACAAAACTGTATTAGTAATACCCTCCCCAACAATCACTAAATGTGGCAGTGATGGAATGGAATAACCTGTCACCCCTATGAGTGACTACACTAACTACCTATAAGTGGTTGTAAGTCAACAGACTACAGAGTCTGGCTGGAATCTGTTGAGTACAAATCAGACTTACATGAGAACTACCGACCTAGTACCTTATTTCTTTTTGTACTAGTTTTTACAATAAACCTTTAGTTATTTTATCCACCATGTTTGTCAAATATATATTCCTATTAGCACAGAATATAACAGGTAGAGACATCAGTTAACCGGATGAAATTAATGTGGAACTTAAATAATCAAAAAATCACTCAGACACTTACAGAAACACTCCCTCACCCAAACACAACAACAAATACAAAAAAAAAAAAAACACACCCAAAAAGTGAAAGGCATTCTGCATCTCCTAGATAACTGACACATCTGGTCACCTAACAGGGGAGAGGAGTGGAGAATTAAACAAAGAAAGTGGGATCAAAAATAAAAGGGGACAATGAGCATATATTGATTTTATAAGCATAGGTTAGGTGTGGCACAAGGCCAAAAGAATAGGGCACCTAGTAAGAAACAAACTCACTATTCAGTTGTAACAGTTTTAGAAAGACAAACTTGCTAATTATTACACCATACCGAGGTGCTCATTTGGAGCACCTCGAGGCAGTGTAATGGCTAGCAAGCTTGTCTCACTAGAACACCTATGACTGAGTAGTGAGTTCGATCCTCACTGGGTGCCCCTACTTTCAGCCTTGTGCCACATCTAAGCTACACTTGGAAAATCGCTAGTAAGGTGCTCTATAGTAGAAAAACATTTACTGAGGAAAAATTTCAGTAAACTCAAATAATACCTAAAGGTTAAATCCACTTTTGAAGGAAGTGAGACAAATTACTGCCACTGCTTAGGACACATCCATTAAGCTGAAGAATGGGAGTTTAATATCTTCAGAAATTTGTTAGCCAAGGATGGTGAGTTCAATCCTTGGTAGGACCACAAGAGTCAGCATAGTTAACAACCATGAAAAAAAAATTATTTTTTAAAACACATAAAAAAATTCAAGACATTTTGAAATTGAAAATATTAAAAGTAACTGAAACAAACAGCATAGAAATATTTTATCCAACTGATGTAATGGAATAACCTGTCACCCCCATGAATTTTCAGCACCTGTAAAAATGCAATGCAAAAAAAGAGAAGGCAATGTTTAAACTCCATTCATGCAAAAAAAGGTGTATCAAAAGGACACTTATTCCCTAGACATTGCTATTACAGTAATAGTATTACTGTATACATTTTTGACTCCCTCAGCAATGTTAATTATAAAAATTTGAGTACAAGTACAATATTTATTATTTAGTTTTTATAAATAACTATGAAAAATTTTTTTATTAATTATTTTATAAAAATATCAATGAACTATAGAACAAGTATTGAGTTATAGTTGGTTTACATATTTTTATAAACTTGCAAATATAAAATTATTCTTGTAAATAAACAATCTAATAAATAAATAGTGTTTAATATCTTTATTATCAATACTCAAGAATAAAGAAAATATATAAATCCACTTTCATAAGTTTGGGTTTTATTAAAATTATAATCATCGTCTATTAAAACAATAAACAGCAAAGATTAACTCCAATAAAATGGCATGTCAAAAAGGGCTTCCTTTCCTTTGACACCGCTATTATTTTATACTACCTTCCCT